AAAAGTCCTTAAATGTGAAATAAATGTCATAGAAAGCATTCAATTGACCTTTCTCATACATGTCGACACATTGTTACAACAATAATTTTAAGTTTTCAAACAAATTATAAGTAAACTGTAAACTGCTATTAGTAAATTTTAGAATTATAAGGTTCTATCTGCATTTGACCTGTTCCAAAAATCCCCATTTAAAAATTTGAGAGGATTTTGATGTTGTATATTTAGAATACATTTAGAATGCAAAAACTTTGAAGCTCAATATCTCAAAACCGCTCAGAATGCAGATAGAACCTTACAATTCCAAGGTGACAGTGTGTGTGTGTGTGTGTGTGTGTGTGTGTGTGTGTGTGTGTGTGTGTGTGTGAGAGAGAGAGAGAGAGAGAGAGAGAGAGAGAGAGTCCTGAAGCTTTTAGACTCCAAAGATTAGTCCCTTTTCATGCCAAGTGATGTGTGTTACAGAGCTTCATAAAGGGATTTTAAGGGAATAGTTTGCTAAAACATGAAAAATCCATAATTTAGTCAGAATTATTAGACATTTTCTTTGGTGGAGGAGAAAAGCAGATATTTATCTGAATGTTCACGCTGCTCTGTTGCATTACATTGATTAAGTTGTGTGTGTATTGGATGTGCAGAACAGACGCACATTTAAGTCATTAATCACTGAAAATCTATATTGTTGCTCTCAGAAGTACACTTTAGCAAACTTTTATTACAAACATTATATATGTTAAAAGAATACATAAGTGTGAACTGAACATAATGTTTTTGAACACTTAATTGCATGTTAATTGCATTTAAATGAAAAATGTATTGTAGTTTACATTTGTATTAAATGCAATCTCTTAAGGAGGACTTAAGTACAACTTTATATGTAATTTCATAAATGTATTCACTTTGATATATGGTTAAAGTGTACTGGTGAATGTACATTTATAATGATGAAGTTGCAATTTAGTACATTTTTAAGTACACTATTAAATAACACACTACAGTTAAAATTATAAGCAAGTACCTTACATGTGCGTTAATATTTTAGTCAACACATCAAAATAAGTGTACTTCTTTAAAGCAATTACATGACGTAAGATTATTAAAACACCAATTTAAAAGTATACTTTAATATAAAACTTTATTTTTGTCATTACAAAGTGCACTTTATAAAAGTGTACTTAAGTGTGTTAAGAAACTTTGGTTACACATTATTTTAAGGTGTCCTTGTTACAGTGAAATTATACATTTAAGTCAGAAACTTGCAGGCATTTCACAACAAGCCTTTGGTTTCTACACTTAAAAAAAGAGGTTCAAATAGTAAACATTGAAATTATACATGCAAAACTGTCTTTTCCAGTCCAAGCATAGTTTCCCTTGCATCGTGGCAGCTCTATCTGTGCAAACGGGGTAGTCCACAGTCATGTGGGGCTGTCTGGCGGAGGGGGGCGTTGTCGTCCGTGTTCGCCGGTTCCTGAGCATTGCCGTTCGTGGGGCCGCAGCGAGGAGTGAGTTTGCGGAGATACTCTGCATGGACAGGTTTGTGGCATTGTAGCACCCGGATCGCCTCATCGATTTTGAACCATTTCCGCTTCCGACCTGAAAAACATGTTATATTTTTAATAGCATCTTGCAACACTGAAAACCAATACAAAACATTTGCATTAACAATAGTACACTTTTAAAAATAAAGGTTCCTTATTGGTTCCATGAAGAACTTTTAACATCCATGGAACGCTTTCATTCCACATTGGATCCATTGTAGTGAATGGGTGCCGTCAGAATGAGAGCTCAAACAGCTGATTATAAACAACACAATAAACCACAAGTAATCTGCATGACCGCAGTCCATTAATTAATGTCTTCTGAAGTCAAAAGTTGCATGTTTGTAAGAAACAAATCCATCATTAAGATGTTTTTAATTTCCATAATGCATAATATTGCTTCCTCCAGTACGGGGGAAAAAATCATCTGGTCTGAATCAGGAGAGAAATATACACAGAACAAGCACCAAAAGAGTTTAGAACAAATATGTTGGGTGGATTTTGATGTGAGAGGGCAACATGGGATGGACTTTATCACTGGAGGAAGTGTTATTATGGATTATGGACTCATATTTTAGCAACAGTTTGGAGTTAAAAACGTCTTACTGATGGATTTGTTTCAAACACAACTTTTGGCTTCACAAGATGTTAACTGATGGACTGGAGTGGTGTGGATTACTGTGATGTTTTTATCAGCTGTTTGAACGCTCATTCTGACGGCACCCATTCACTGCAGAGGATCCCTTGGTGAGTGTTTGCTCAGGTAACCATCACTATTACTATTGCTTATACTTCTTCTGCTCAAAACGTTGGTGCGTAAGTCGTCCCACGGCATTGCTACAGACAAGAATGATTACTGATTACTCAAACCACGCAGCTAACAAGGGAGGTGTGCTATTACTTTTCTAAGCAACATGACTTACGATTTTCGCCCAGGGCCATTACAAGAACATATCGATTGAGTTTCCAGGGACGGAAGGTGGTGCACACACTTTATGATCTAAAACACCAAGGCTAGCAATATACTGTATAACGCAATAACCACACCAACGTATGTTGTAAATAATATAGTGATATTAAAAAAAGGTGTTGTATTTAATTTCCACTGTGACATTTTCATGTGTAGAGGCTGAAATGCAAAGCTTTGAAATCTTAAAAACACATTTAAAATAGATGTCAGACCCCTTCATTGCTTTTGAATGAATGAATGAATGAATGCATACATACATGCATTCATGCATACATTTACATTTAGTCATTTAGCAGACGCTTTTATCCAAAGCGACCTTACAAATGAGGACAATAAAAGCAGTCAAAACTAACAAAAGAGCAACAATATATAAGTGCAAATGACAAGTCTCGGTTAGCCTAACGCAGTACACGT